TTCTTACGTGAATTTCAACTTATCCAGCAGTATCATTTGGGAAAATATTATTATTTAAAACATTGCCATTCCTTTCTTCTTTGTCACTAGCCTCTACAATTTCTGGGGGAACAAAACAATATCAGTTTCATTCTGTTCATTATTAACATTACCATCATGTTTCTTTATCAAAAAATCTTTGAAGGCTTCTTCTAATGTAAGATACCTCGTTCTAGGCATTTTTAAATAACCAGAACATCGAAAGGAATGAGTGAAAAAGGAGATTGCATCCGTTTCCTGCTGACGTAGCGTCAGCGCAACACCTGTTTTCCTTTCCTTCCCAACACAAATATAAATATCTGACTGATGTAATGTTCTGATAAACGGTGACCTTGACTAAAAATAGATCACTCATAAAGACGGCGATTCTTTCGTTAAATATTTTCAGCAAAAATACCCGGTTGAAAATTTTGCTTAAAGTATGAGATTAATTATTATAAAAAAAATTATTGTTGAAGTCAAATATTTTTTTACAGAAATAATCTTCATAATATTCCCTACCCAAAATCATCTGCTGGTATAAAATATCTTAGATAGTTATATTTATATACCCATTTATTTTCCCCGTTGCGTCAACGCAAACACCAGCGGCTAATGGGTTAAGTAAACATGGTGTTGGTGTGTGTGTATTTAATTATGGCAAAGCACACGAGGGCTATCTGCCTAAAGGGAGGGATGCCTTTCGTGGAGGACTTTCTAAGGGAAACTGGCTCGTATACACGTTACACAAAACTACGAAAACGCCCATGCAGCCAGCCCGTTCGCGGGATTCGAACCTCAGACCGAACTACCAGTGTTCAGCGTCTTTACTGCTCGGCCGCTGGTGGGCTTAAGTAAACATGGCTAAGTATGTTCTCATTACCAAAGTAGTCCTTTAGATACTCCACAGCCTTTGTGCAGCTGGCTTCAGTTCCCGGAAAACTGTCCACGATCTGTAGAAAAATGGAATGCAACTTCTTTATTTACAGCAGGTAAGGAAATTTCTCGCTTATATCAATTCTGGGATTTTCATGGATTTTACTCAATTCAGTCCAGAATGTTAGCCATTTTTTAGATATCTTTTAAACCTGATGAGCGTATGTATGTATGTTTCACGCATTGTGATAAAACAATGGTACGAAAGACATCAAAATTTGAATAACGCAATTTTCCATAGAATATGGGCATGAAGCCCTAATTTGAATTTGAAATTTGTTTTATTATCGATTTCAGATTTTGTAACACTTCAAAGAATTTTTGATTAAAAAACTAAACAATTTCAAAGTGAGCAATGGCAACACTGTACCAAAAAACAAAAAACATGCTTATTTTCAGAGCGCGAGACTGTATCGAAATTCTAAAGATATGCTAATTTTAAAATTAATTTGGGATATTCTCAACTGAATTTTATAGTTTGAGTACGTAGAACATGATATTTATTAAATAAAGGTAACACACAAAACGTTAAAAAACGCCCCTTTAGGACGCAATTTAAAATCAGAAACATTTCAGATTTTTTTCATTTGTTTTTTCTTTTTAATTCGATAACTTCACATAGTACTCTTCAGCCACATCATATTCTTTTTCATACTCTTCTTGCAAGCAACCTTTTATCTAATGCAGTTAGAGATAGTCATCATCCAAGATTCATAAAGACTTCTATTTCACAGATCACTAAGAGTAATACCTACTTAATGTTGATTTAGATGATTGTCTTTGCAAAGCAAGTCCTCTTATTTGTGTCTGTTCTTGGAAAGGCATTTTTAACACCTTTTCTCTTCTGCTTAAACAACTCCAGGTCCATTAAAAAAAAAAAAAAAAAAAAAAAAAAACAAAAAAAAAAAAAAAAAAAAAAAAAAAAAAAAAAAAAAAAAAAAAAAAAAAAAAAAAAAAAAAAAAAAACAAAAAAAAAAAAAAGAAAAAAAAAAAAAAAAAAAAAAAAAAAAAAAAAAAAAAAAAAAAAAAAAAAAAAAACCACTTTTAAAATTCTTATGTGCTCAGACCTTAAATATCATCTCTAGACATCCATCTTGGTAGGGATGCCATATGCTGCATACATAACACTTAACACCACCATTTATTCACATGCATAATATAGCCACGACATACAGTACACGTAAGGGAAATTTCAGTGGTGCCTAATTATTCAGCATGTGCCATTCTTAAATGGTCTCCTCTGAAACAGATTTAGTGCATCAGATGTTCCTCAGGTAGTAAGCTTCATAAATCAGCTACAATATTAATTTCCTTACCATTAAAAGCCAGCATGAATAATATACTAGAAAATCTATAAATGAGTTAATTTACAATTTAATAAATCTTATTCAGAGATTTGAAGGATACATATTTTATTAACTTTTATTCATACTTGTCAGAAAACAAATAAGCTCAGTTATGAATAATTCACTAAGAATAATTGCTTTGTTTGAGAATATGTTTATATATGGACAGATTTCTTTTACAGTTGAAAATGAATAAAAAAAATACCCGATTGATGAATGAGCATCTATAATCTGTGATGAAGATAATTTCTATATTTGATAAAATTACAAACTTTATCAAAATCGAAACACAATCAAGTGTAAAGGTGCAGTAAGAAGTAAAAATCTGTAATTATTTACATACAAACATGTATTTTTATTTAAACACTAAAGAAAAATTTAATAAATGGCAGAAAAAAATTAGATCGTGATAACTTATTTTCAAGTTTCATCCCACTTATAATTTTTTTTCTGAAAATTTACGAGTTTTCATAGATTGTTTATTCTCAGTTTAAATTATTTAATGGTTTATTAAACATGTTAAAAGTGTGTTTAATAAACTGCCAGTCTAAAATTTTAATATTTAGCTATCAATACATTTGAATAACACAGTGTAGAATATAAAAATATCTTACAGGTACCAAACTTTAGATAGAAAATAAATATGAATTTGACTTTTTCTCTTTGCAATGTTTTTATTTTATTTCTTTAACACAATTTTCAATTTGTTAAAGAAATTCTGGTCCTTGAGCTCTTTTGAGATCATGCATTTGGCTCATTTGCAGTTTGAATTTGAAACCACTGTCCTAGGTAATCAGTATAGGTTGTCCCTTACAAACTAAAAAGATTAATACCTCATGCCACAATATACTTTTATTTAATTTCTTAAAAATACAATATTTTTAACATTAACACAATCTATTTTAAGTCTATATGCTTTTTGCTAGGTATAATCATCACACTGTAACTCTTGACCAATAATATTTTCTGTAGACAGAAATGAAAGAGATTTCAATTTCTTTTGTCCTCAAATAAATTCTTTTTTCAGTTTCCTGCCACAATTAAACACTTCTTTGATGCAACTATAATACCATAATCATCGAAATTTTCATTAGTTGAAGGATAAGTATCTTGAGAAGAGTATATCTGAATGTAGGCTGAATCTTCTTTCAGTGTTTTTAAAACCTTCTGAAAATGAGATTTTAGATGCAGTACAATTCTAAGGTCATTTCTTTAATATTTACATCATGACTAATTGCTGCTTACTATAATTTCAGTTGTTGTTCACCTTAAAGAAACTTTCCTCTAATGAGTTATAAACAATTTTTTGAGAAAATAAAGAAATGACCAGCTTATGCAAGCCATACTGAGCTGTTTAAAATGTTGTTTTACACCAGAAAGTGTTTGGAGATTTACTGAAAGTATGTTAATACATTGACAATGAACCATACATTTCTTTCTATGAACTTTAGTTGTTTTAAAAATAAAGAAATCATCTAACATTTCAACCAAATTTCCAAATTTCAAATATTAACTAAATAGCACTTTTCAGTCCATTATGCCTATAATAATTTGTTCCATACCTTGTAGAGTCATTAGGTTAATTGGAAGCAGAAAAGATGAAAAATATGCAACCGTCTTCGCCAGGAATCGAACCACGGACCTCTGAAATACCGGCCCAGCGTGCTACCGTTACACCACGAAAGGCACGCTAGGGAAGTGGGAGAAATACCTTATATCCTCCCCTTTTTAAAGGGCGACTAGGGTTTTAAGGTACCTAGTCACCAAATCCTGGGTGCGGAGAATCATCATCCACAACCCTTTTAGTTTGGGCGCCACTTGTAGAGTCATTAGGTTAATTGGAAGCAGAAAAGATGAAAAAAAAATATGCAACCGTCTTCACCGGAGAATCGAACCACGGACCCTGGAATACCGGCCCAGCGTGCTACCGTTACACCACGAAGGCCACGCTAGGGAAGTGGGAGAAATACCTTATATACTCCCCTTTTTAAAGGGCGACTAGGGTTTTAGGGTACCTAGTCACCAAATCCTGGGTGCAGAGAATCATCATCCACAACCCTTTTAGTTTGGGCGCCACTTGTAGAGTCATTAGGTTAATCGGAAGCAGAAAAGATGAAAAATATGCAACCGTCTTCACCGGGAATCGAACCACGGACCTCTGGAATACCGGCCCAGCGTGCTACCGTTACACCACGAAGCCACGCTAGGGAAGTGGGAGAAATATCTTATAACCTTTTGAAAAATTAGAAGTAACATTTAAGATTTCACATAAAGATGTTTAAGAATGTAAAAACTGCCTTAACAACTCTCGTGCTTTACTACATAGTACACTATTTTACCTTTATCATTCACCAGGACATGGCTGGTATCATCTGAAAAATCATTGACTATGTCACATTATAAGGTATTTTCTCCCTCTTTACAACATGCTTTCGTGGTGTAATAGTAGCACACTTGGTGCGTATTCGAAAGATCTAGGCTTGAATCCCAGCGAAGGCATTGCTTATTTTCCCATGTCTTGCTTCAAAATAACTTAAAGACTCAACCTAAGCTTGGAAACAGGCTTAAGAGCACAATTTGGCGTCTGATTCATGCAATTAGCTATTGGTGTCTCTTGAAAGGATATGATGTGCTCTATTTTCTTACCTAAAATGCCATGTTGTGTCTGCTGCTCATTAAAAAAAAAAAAAAAAAAAAAAAAAAAAAAAAAAAAAAAGGGGAAGATTCAAATTTCTTTCTTTTTTTCCTCTATAACTTACTAGGAATGAAATATAAAAATTCTGCAGTCCAAAAATTGATGAAAAATAAAGAGATTCTAACCAAAAACATAGCAAATATTAAGAACACATTTATGCTAAAATATAAAGTGAAAAAAGATTTTTTAAAAAAGCATTTATCTCCAGATTAAAAAAAAAATCCATGCTTACAATAAAAGTTTTAGATGTTGAATACAAAATGTCACTTCAATGCTAATATATCATATTCATTCAAATATTTCTTCTCTATATCTTCCATGACATGATTTAGAAACTTTGGATTCTATGGTAGCAACAAGCATGGCACAGACATATGGCATAAATGCATTATTAAAAAGAACGGCAAAAAATGTTCTTTGGTATACAGAATGCAGTTATGTTAGCATATATATTCACATGCAGTTTCTAATCTACCAATTTTTCTTTAAACTGGTGTCCTCTAAAATAGTATAAACAGTACAGTTTCCCCATATTGATTTTCAGCAGATTACACATAATTAGTAAACCTAAGGAAAGGGATATGCCAGTAAAGATGATACAAGCTTTAAGAAAGAGAACATGAAGATGATAAGTATCAATTACACTGAAATATTGAAAAGTTATCAATCAGTAAATGCACGAAATTATATCAGAAAATTATAGTACACATAATTAATATCTGTAGTCTATGCATATATACATAACTAATATTTACAGTACTACATATATATACAGTTAGATGCATAAATCACACACTCCTGGAACCCAAAATTTCTAGTCCATAGATTATTCGATTAATGTGTTGATTTCATCACAGCTGATTAAACTAAACTCAAAATCCTGAATTAAAAAGACAAACCATCTTCTCTGCTCAGAAACCAAGCAGCATTGAGGATTATGATCTGGTATTTCATCAAACAGTCTTAAAAGTTTTCCAGTACTCAATGACCATATTCTTATCAGATTATCATCTCCAACACCACAAATCACATCGAGATCTTCACTAAGACTAAATGGCTTTCGCTTGCTAGATTCTATGTGCTCGGAGTATTGAAAAACAGTTTTCTTCATTCTAGTGTCAATCTGAAAATAAAAAGTATTGCAAAAATCACATAAACATGATTAATAATGTTAAACATTTAACATGGTTAAACACAGCAAATTAAACATGGTGAGCATGGTTTGCACAAAATGCTCCTCCTCCCAAACTGCAGGCACATTACACACAAAAGAGTGCATTTCTGCTGCTACTCTTAGTGCCACTGGAATAATTCAAATTTCTTTTTTCTATCATTTGTTTAATTTGGATACTGCAAAACTGAAATATTAGATATTGCCCAGGATACTATACTTACATACAGAAAAAATAAAAATAAATATTTATGAAAAAATAAAATTTTTTGTTTCAAAATTTAGATTAAAACATCAGAATTATTAAAATATTAAACATGATAAATTTCAATTAATTACAAAAAAATCTTGCAAAGTAATTCAATACTGATACTAATATGTTTTAATTGAAATATTACTAGTACTAGACTCCTGTACTCCTGCATAGAATCAATCACAAATCACCTATAATATCACAAAAATCCTTGTTAAACTAATGAATAAAATAAAAGCAAACAAAAGAGGGAAATGCTAGAATTCGTACAAAAATCAGAATTGCCAGTATGGGTCCTCTTACAATTTATAAGCAAAGAAAATTTTTTAAAAAGTGCGATACCGAACGAAAATATTTTAAAAAGCAATGGAAAGAAGGAGATCCAGACAAAGTCATAATTTCAGTAATGTGTACTGCCTGTGAAAGTAAAAAATATACTCTAGTATTTTAGGTCACAAAATAAAGAACTAATATTAAATTTTTGAAGAAAAAGAGACATCAAGCTCACAGATTTTTCACAAGCTTTGTAGATAACAGGAAAAAAAATTGTTACAGACACAGGTGTCTCTATGGTGTAAATCATTTTGAGATAAGACGAACTATCCTCTTGCATGAGAACTTTTTTCACACAAATGAATGAAGGTGCATTCACACTAGTCAATTGGAGCAAAAAGTGGAAACACGGAAAAACACGTTTTCTGGATACATCAATTCACACCAAGGCAGAAACTTTCGCTTTAAAAGTTGTGTATGTGCACACTAGATGGCTTTTCATATCAGAAACGTAGGGGAAAATGTGAATTTTTGTGTGGTATTTTGGATTTTTATAGTTATACTTTTTTATTAAAGTGGATCCAATTTCTGCTAGATTAAAACTTATTTTACTTCTTGCTTTATGTGATAGAAGCAGAAAGCATTGGTTAATACTGCAAGAGATGACTGCTGCAAGGAGTTGGAGTATTTAATTATGGCAAAGCACACTAGGGCTATCTGCCTAAGGGAAGGGATGCCTTCGTGGAGGATTTTCTAAGGGAAACTGGCTCGTATACACATTACACATGGGAAAACCACGAAAACGCCCATGCAGCCAGCCCGTTCGCGGGATTCGAACCTCGGACCGAACTACCAGTGTTCAACGACTTTACCGCTCTGCTGCTGGTGGGCCTGCTGCAAGAAGATGTTAGTAATTAATTGAAGAAATGCACTTGAAAGACATAGAAATTTCTTTTAATTACTTTCACATGAGCCTCGTCAATTCGATGAATTTATACACTCGTTGGACCATTTATCCAAAAGCAGAACACTAGTTAGAATATCGCAGAAAAGAATTCTTAAGAAGGTATAAGGAACAGGACAGCCCAGAAAAGGATCATTATGTATACAGTACAAAGTCCGTAATTTGGACTCGTCGATTCTGGATTAAGGGTTTTTCCAGATTATAGATCATCAATTTAAATCTGGTAAGATGGCATGCAGAAAATTATACAATTAAAATATGAAATCATAATTTATGAAATAAAGACCAATTATGATCTAAAGGGATTATTATTACTTATTATTAATTATGATTTTATAAAAAAAGCCCAATATTTATTTGTTTACTTTATTAAACATTTCTTTCAATGTAAGTTGTTTAAGTTCCTTTTTTTTTTTTTTTTTTTTTTTGTGCTAATACTTTCTCTTTAATTCTCTCTTCTATAAACAGACTTTCTTGTTCAGTTACAAAGTTTTACTGTTCAAATACTGTAATTGCTGTGTCGAGAATACCAACTAACTTGTCAACCGAAATTTTTTCATTCTCTGTCACTTTCTTCACTATCGATATAATGGACGTCTGGATTATGAACTTTGTACTGTATATCTAATTTACTTTATTTATGAATTTTGTTGAATGATAATACAAAATTCGTAATTGCATATTTCAATTTTAGAGAGTGAATTTTTTAAGGGTGAACTTCCCTTAATATACTGCTTTAATTAATGTAATAAAAATATTTTGTTTGTATATATATGTAGTATTTATAGGATTACTAAGCTAGATATCACACTTGAAAAAAAGCAGTTATTTAAAAAAAAAGTTAATAAATAATAGAAATTTAAAAAACTGTTTTAAAACGTTGTTTCTGCCTTATGTACATATTTTTTTACCTTAAATGTAACTGCAATTATAGTCATTCATATACTAATGAAGAGTCACTGTCTAAAGTCATTTTCGTCTAAAACTCATTGAAGTAAATGTATTTTATATAATAATTTCTGTTTCAAAAATTGAATTCTACCAATAGTAAATTTGTAATGCTCAAGCAAGTCTTCTTTAAATTAATGAAAAATAATCCTCAAGATTAAACCTCTGGCTAGGTTCTTATATAAGTTGTCTGAAAAAAGATAATGCATGTTTAGGGAAGCAAACATAAAGCCATTAAAATGCCTAGAAGTATTCTATAAAATCAATACTAACAAGGTCCGTTTCTGTATAAATAATAGTTTTCTTATTTTTTTTTTTAAACAAATGGTTTACTTGTCAGTATTCGTTTAAAATTAAGATCTCATTAAATTCAATTTCTTCATCTGTTTGCTTGGCGAAAACTTGTGATGCTCGACTACCTTCAACAAGAACCTGCTTTTGTTGTTTGTGCCTGACTGATTCGTTAAAACTTTTTATCAGAACAATTCCTCTTTCTGCAGCATCACTGACCACCTTAAGTGACCTGTTCACATGGCTTCTTTGAGAATTACTGCAGAATTCTGTCACATCATGAACCCAAAATAATTCAAAGCATCTTTTTTTTATTAGTAACATTTTCTTTGCAGGTTTGGTTTCTAAATTTTAGTCATATTTTTCTTTATCAGCCTCAGTAATACTTTCATCCACAGAAGCCAATCCTATGTTTGTTTCTGAGAGATGTCAAAGGTGTCTCTTAGCAACCATAACAGCACTTTTGTTGACATCTGCACCTGGATAAATGCTCTACCATATCCAAATCATTCTTTGGAGCCCACTGACAACTGCCTTGTGCCAAATGCGAACATATATGAAACTGACATTCCTTTCAATTCTCGTTATTCAGAACTTCATTGTCAAGCAGTATGCACACCACTTCATCTCATGCCATTAATTGCTGATTACAGTAGTTTTATTGCCATTACATTTTCAACATCATAGCCCAGAGTTCATAACGAAGACTTATCTATACATCACACAAGAAATTTATTCTCAACCAAGAACCTTAGATATGCCATGCTAACAGGATGTGGCTTTAGCCCAGGAGCCTGAATCAAGTGACTTTGTATGCAAGGTTTCAATTCTCGTCAGGAATATTCCACTGTTTAGTGAAGAAGATAATTTTAATTTTAAGTGCACATATTGCCTTCCACCTTGCTTGATGCAAAGACCCCGGGATCCTGAAACTGAAGTTGTTTTGGAACCATCCCCCTAGGTACACTAGTGAGAGTTGTAATAACTCTTTGGAGTTTTCTTTTGGATGACTTTTGTCTTTTAGGACATTTTGAATGTAGTTAACCATTTTCACTCATTGTTCTTCCTGAAAGCCTTGAATGGGATTTTCTTCCTTAAGCATTGTTGTATACAACTTCTAATTAAGAGAAACCTATAGACTTCAAAACTTCTGATACCACAACACTCCCCAAACACACCTTTCAGTATTAATTCATAGGTGTGATGACAGCAAGCCAACCATAAAAATGTTCGTTAGAATTCTTCAATGTCGTGCTTCTTTGATCAGTCCTGTATTAGATGCTGTAGTATCAAAAGAGGTACCAATGATATTGTCATGTCATGCACTTCCCGAAGAACTGCTTCAGTCATCTGCTCACCAGCGCCTTTCAGGGTAACAGGTATGCCAATCAAATGCTCAAAATCTTTGCCAGCCATTAGAACTGCAACTCTTATCTTCTAATATTTTGAAACTCCCACGGGCAATTGAAGGCAACAATTTATTGTCCCAATGCAAGACCAAATGAGGAGGATTTTCAAAGAGTGATGACTCCAGAAGTTTCTCTGCATTTTACTTCTATTCCTCACCTGAGCTCGGGTGGAGATATGGAAATTTTTTAAACAACAAATTTTTTAACAATACTGGACTATTTTTTATAGCAACTTCTTGTAGTTGCTATAAATGAATACATGAGAAGCCAATCAGTACAAAGCACTTGACTATTAGAAATTCGTTAATTCAAGATAAAAATAATCAATGTGTGCAATCCCTAAATATTATCCAATCTGCTTGAAATTCAGCATAATATGCTTTACATCACCGAGATTCGGGGCATAAGCAAAGTCCTATGAAAATCCCATCTTTGGAGAAATTGACACACCATGTAACTTATGCATGCGCATACCACACACATGTTTGTGTGCTCATGGATTTTAGTCATTTTGCTGAACAGTCTCTTGCTGTAAAAAAATAAGGTTCTTATTGTTGGCTTTAGTTTTCCACAAGCAAATTTTGATCGGAGGTCGATCGGCGGTAAGCTAATGTGGTTGCCGCTGATTGGCCGATGAGGTCAAGATCGGCGGGTTGGCCGAGTATAATATATATGTATGCCGGTATCGGCGAATGTCTTGTTCTCTTGTGTGATTATCAGTTAGCATTATGTTAGTTTTTCTTTCACTTAATGATTTTAAATGTAAAGGCTACAGTGTTAGCTCTTTTATTTTATTTACGGAATAAAGCATGAA